GTACACGTATGCTGCTTTTGTCATGTTGCACTGTTGGTTTACTGCAGGCCGGCATGTCAGCTCCGGGGACCCGCAGAGACATCTTTGACCAGAAAGTGGCGCTGCAGCCGCTGGACAACTCCACCATCTCCCTCCAGATGGGCACAAACAAGGTGGCGTCCCAGAGGGGAATGAGTGTATACGGCCTGGGCAGACAGGTTTACGACCCCAAGTACTGCGCCCCCCCAACCGAGCCGGTCATCCACACCAACGGCAGCCAGGGCACCGGCACCAACGGTTCCGAGATTAGCGACAGTGACTATCAGGTGGAATTCCAGGAGGAAGAGTACCACGGAGGTTACCATGACGACTACAGCTCCCATTACAACGACCAGAGCATTGACTATTAGCGGAGACCTCCAACTCCAGAGCAGTATTAACAAGTGTGTTTTATCCACTACGCAAAGGAGGAGGTCTTCTGATGTCCTCACTAGTCTTTTTATTTTCTTGACGCATAAAATGAAACGTTGCCTTGAGTACTTTCCTTCTTCGTGTAGACTCTTTGAACAGCAAAGGTTATAAGAAGCTGTAGTAGCGTAGTATAACGAGATGCAGTGACAATGTTCTTAAGCTTAACAGCAGTCTTTCTAACACCCACTTCCTGTCTCAGTGATGGAACGCTGGCGTAGTGATAATGTCGCTTGTGTAGTTTTGGGTGAAGCTGCTGCATTGGAGGACTGAAGCGTTGCAAATCCATGTGAAGGGATTCTCATGTGTCGTCCTCGACTACAACTTATGTGCCTCTCCTTTGTATTCTCCATGTATTCGTTCTCGCAGCCAGTTTGGGATACTGGTGTCCTTTAATTAGTTTTTTTTACTAAGCTTAATCACTAGATCATTTTGGGTTTTTTTTGTTGTTTTTTTTTAAATGATAGGCGTGCAGACCCTGATGGCTGTCAGGTGACTCAACCTGAGCTACCTGCACAGTTCTCATCATGTCCTCGTGCATCACATGACCTACTTTTTAAACGTTGTTCCCCTTGTATTCCCAAGCTGTATTTATTGCAGTGATTGTAAAACTGTCCAATATTATGTAGTCCTTAAAGAAAATGTTATGTAATAAAATAAAGCCTGTAATTCTGAAAGCCTGTCAGCACGCTGTTGTCGCCAGCAGACCGCATGTTCGGCCATGTTGGAAGAAGGTGGGAACGTTTTCTGTTGCCTTCCTAATGGAGCGGAAACACCGAAGCTCTGAGACGGGAGTGTCCAGCTTTGATGTAGAGCATTTCAGTGGTTTATTCAGAGCAACGAGCAGCAGCAGCAGCATGGAGACGAAGAAACTGCCGATAGCACACAGTGTTATTTTAAGAAAGCAGAAAATAATCACTGGGCTCATTTCAAATAAAGACGGATACTGGTATTCTATACTGGTCGACTCGGTTTGAAGGAGGCGTTTTTTTTTATAACCAGGTAGGTTAACGAAGAACCAGTTCTCATTTACAATGTGTTTCTGATTCACACACACATTCATACACCAGTGGTGACGGAGCTGCCATCAGGAGCAGCTTCAGGTTCAGAGTCTTGCCCGAGGATACCTCGACTGTGGAGGGGATCCAACCGCCAACCTTACGAAAAGACGACAACCACCTGAGCCCTGTTTTGTTCAAGGCTAAAAGGAAACACTGGGTTGTGGTTCCCAAGTTCCTGCTGTCAACAGAAACCATGCGTAGAGCTAAAGCAACACTTATGATGTGCTGCAGGTATCAAAAGTCTGATTTAGTGACCTCCGTAGGTAGAACATCCCATTGACCCCCACGGAAAATGGAGTGTTTGAGCATTCAAGGTAACTTACGTAGAAAGGTGTAGAGTAAAAAGACTAAGGTAAGGGTAAGACCATACTGTCTATCTGTACTATGTTCTGACTGTACTGCACACTGAATATTTCCCAGAGCTCTGTAATCATCTAGAGTTACCAGCAGAATAGAAAAGGACAGTGTGACAACATTTAAGACTATTTCCAGCTATGTATGTTTCCCTGTGTACTAATGGTTATCCAGACTACACGAGCCAGTCCAGGAACAATGAACAACGGTTGAATGTCTAAAACCACATCAAAAGCCTCGATGTAGCGCTAATTGTTAATTCATTACCATGAAAACACACTGTTCATTTAAAATAAATCCCAAAGTTTGAATTTGTTTAAAAGGTCTAGAAAAGCTCTGCAGCACCCTCTTTCTAACCAGAGGTGTAACTTCCTGGGTACAGAGGAGTCTCTGGTTTCTTTGTATGCATCTTGGCATCAACTGGTTTAGGATTTTATGACCCCATGGCCTCACTGCTGCTACGGTTGCCTTCATTTTAATCAGAAATGTCAATTTTATATCTTATTCTTCTACCATTTGAATGTGTTGCAGACATGGATTCTGCAACAGTCTTCTGCTCGCTGCTGAAGCCGATAAATCAGCGATCATGCAGAACTGTTACTGTGCAAATCATACTGAAGTAAAGGAACCGCTTCATAAACCTCGTAGAACATCTCACTGCAGATTTAGAGGGGTGATGATCGAGTAATTTCTCTAGTTTTGTTGATGCAGTAAAACTCATTGGGAAAGTCATTCACATGCCACGCTGAGAAGAAGTCATGAGGAAACCTCTTGAACAAATGTTAATGTGTTGATGGCAACATCTCACATCCCTGAGCTGCTGTGAAGAGATTTGATGAAGTGACTGAAGCACCAGTTTCAGAAAAACCTCAAACAAAACAAAAAAAAAGATTTCCATGTGCTTTGAGTATGGCTCAAAGGCTAACTGTAAAATACATGCATGAGCCCTGATGCTATACGTTATGGTACAATCAAAAGATTGAACAAAAGATCAGTCTCAGACTTTCTAACTTTCCAGTGGCGAAGCAGGATGCCCAGGTCAGATTTCAGTCCAGAAATTTCCGTGATGCAGTTTCTGTAGCGGCAAACCGTCAGTATGCCAGCTCACAATGGAAACACTGTTTAGAAATGTCAAAATCCATCCATCATCTCTACACCTTCATCCTCACTAGGGGGGCTGGAGTCTATCCCAGCTGACTCAGGGTGAAGGCAGGTTCACCTGGACAGGTAACCAGTCTATCACAGGGCTACACTTAGAGACAGACAACCAAGCACACTCACATTCACACCTACGGACAATTTACAATCACCAATTAACCTCAACATGTTTCTGGACTGTGGGAGGAAGCCGGAGAACCCGGAGAGAACCCACGCTGCACGGGGAGAACATGGAGACTCCACGCAGAAAGATCCCGGGTGTCCTCACCGGGACGTGAACCGGCGACCTTCTAGCTGCGAGGCGATGGTGTTAACCACCGATCCACCTTGCAGCCCAGATGTCATGTTCTACCATGTAAATGTGTGGTTTGGACTGTCCATGCTGTATCACTGTTGTTGAAGTCTCACTCCAGTATCACACTTTCATGCATTTGTAGAAAGCACATTGGCAGCTGTTTTACCAAGTGACAGCCAATCAAAGTTTTAGGCATCGTGTTTTCCTTCTCAGCCAGCAAGACACCAAGAAACATCCATTAAAACGGCAACGTGCATGGATGAAATGGATGCAGCTGTACAGGTTGTTGACGTTTAAACTAGATTTGTACCTCATTCATGGTCAAACATGTGGCCTCCAAACAACTGCTGCTACGACTTTCAGCTACTAAAAATGACATCAGAGGCTTGAACATGTGACTGCTGAGCATTTGGTCAAAATAAAAACTCAGAATGCAAATTACATGAACCCAAAGTTTGTGTCATAAAGTGGATTCTGTTCAGACTAAATTTGATCAACCTGAAGAAGATCTTTGTTCATTTATTTTTATATTTTTTTTCCGAACACATAAAACTCTGTTTATAGCATTCATGCTGTTAAGCCTGTTTGATCTATAATCAAGTAATGGCTGTTTTAAAAGCCATGAAATGATGTAGGAGCACTAGCAGACTGTTTCTTGGTTAAATTTAGACATCTTCCGTTGTGATGAGTGGATCAAATAAGCTTTTGTCTCCACTGTGCTTTCAGTAAAGCCCCGGCCCATCCGCCGCTCAGGAATAATCAATGCTTTGTCCAGGTCTGCAGAATCCAGGGTGAAAACGCAAGACTCAATTATAGAGCCCGAAACAGCATGGTAACCGCAGCGACCACAAAGAGGCCTGAAGGGGAAGGCAGGCCTGTCTTATTACAAGCACAAACCGACCCAGTGGTGCCGTCCCACTGCACACATGCTGCTAGAGGCCAGAAACACATCCATGTTTTTGGGCCAAACACTTGAAAAATGAGGCACAGTATTAGTTTAGTTTGCTCTGTTGATGGCGACAGCAAAGCTCTGCTGCTGCTAGTGGAGGTCAACGTTCTCACCTGAACTCATGAGGTCAGTTTGTGAGGGTTGGAGACTTCTGCTGACACTGATTCTCAGCTGCAGACTGAGACAGCAGATGTTTCGTGTTGCCATCCTGTTTGAACTGTTTTTGGTTTGTATGTAGTGACTTTCAAAAAAGAAAAACCCAGACATTATTGGTGAAGTAAAGCAATTTATGGCTTCGCTACAAAACTGAACAGACATAATGGTGGTAATTCTACACAGAAACGTGAGCTAGTGGGTGTTGCTCAATCAAAGAACCAAATAAAACCAAAATGAAGGTTAACAGAGTGAGCTAACTAGCTAAAGAAAACAGCTAAACTCTAAAGACAAACCCAAACACAACA